GGTCAATGCTCAACACCGCCTACCAGTCTATGAAGTATGATCGTCAATGAACCCACAATCTACGTCCATGTCCATGTCCATGTACATGTATAAAGCTGCCCATACCGGACTGTAGGTCATGACGTGCACCCCATTTCTGTCTTGTTTTCTCTCAATACAAAAGATGGTGAAGACCTAATCATTCGATTAGTGTGTGAGAGTTGAACAGAGCACATGTCTGAAACAATAAAGTGGCTGTCACCACCAACAACATTAATAATACAATGTCATGTACAATCATGTACATGTTGGCCATGTACGTACATGTACGTTATGCGTTTTCAATGTACATGTACGTACATGTACGTTATGCGTTTGCAATGTACAATGTACATACATGTACATTGTACATGTAATTGTGCGTGTCATTGATGTATCGTAGATCTACGCTGAAGTCCAGCATACTACCACTAGAAGTTAGTTAGTCGCCCCTTCTCCACCATAACGTCACGAGAGGGCGGGATGAATCCGGATCAATGTAAACATGTTATTTTGCACCTTTTTTTCCTTTTCATTCCTTCGATCTGGTGAATACGGTATTTGTGCTCCAATGTTTGTATTTTGTTTACCTTTGGCCCCTTTTCCGGTTCGGGAAGACATCTACCGTGAAAGGGTCATGCAATGAGCCACTTTCAAAGCGCTTTCATCATGACCTCTACACATTCTAACCTGCTACTAGTCTTGTGATGATTGATTCTTGCGATGACTGGATGGATGGTGCTCGCTACTCTCTAGCGCCCACACCGGCACACGCCCTCTGCCTTGCATGCCACGAACCTGTCAGTAGGCAAAGACTAAGTGAGTTACATGTACCTCTCCTACTACACGTGTACATGTGCTTAGTATAACTTACTTATAGTTATAAAAATGATCGGCACATGCACACATCACTCTACCGACTGCTCTACTTATAGGCGTTCTTGCACTGGACAAACTGACATTCCATGCACAGTGTAATACATTGTACTTGCACAGTATGCGCAAAGTGGCAATGCGGCGAACAATGATCAATAGTACAGGAAATTGTTTGATTGCATGATTGTATGACTGTGAGTTTGTTTCCGTATCAACCTAAAATGGACACAGTCACATTCGCTGTGAGTTATTGGGTCTGAAAATCACTCAACGCCTTTTCACACATCTTAAGGGGTCGTCCATAATTATCGAACTTTTTCCACGAAACGAAATAATTTCGTTATGGGGTGGGAGGGGGTTGACCAATTTCGTTTCAGAAAAGTTCGATACATGTACATGGCCATAGGAGCAGTGACACACTTGCGACTTTTGTTGTATTATGCATGTATATGTCAACAATTTTTACGTTCTGAGGGGGAGGGAGGGAGGGGGTGGGTCTAAACTAAAATAATTCGTTTGGTGAAAAAAGTTCGATATTTACGGACGGCCCCTAAAAAGACATCGACACTGAGTGGGTCAGTATTCAGTGTGTTTTTAAATTCTTCCCCAGACGTGACATACTTGTGTACATGATTGTACAAGTACATGTCATGTAGATATCTACTGTGTGGAGAAAAATTTACAATACATGTACAGTGTACATGTACATGTATACCAGTGAACGTTCACGTAATCATCATTGCATTGGTGTACTTTTACTGTACTTGCCAATGTTTGCATACATGTACATGTACATGTACACGACATGCATGCCTTACATGTACATGTATTCATCATAATAATTATTTTGAAAGTACCTACCCATGAGAGTATCATCAGAGTATAGTGTATACAATCATGACATGCATACACGTGCAGTGTATGTCCACGTTTTCATTTGTTTTTTATTAAACAGTTAACGTGGGAGAGCTACTCAATGGAAGAATTGAGAGTATTCGAATCATTGGGTCACGGGGTAGTGGATTTATACCCCTCCAATTCCGACTGCATTGCTACGTGTGTCCCGTCACATATCTTCACCCGCAGGAGTCTAACACACATTCTCTCACTGGATGGCCCCTGCACCTCAGAGCACGGAGAATCATTTGCAACCTGAATTATTGCATTTTGTTTCAATACACGTTTGGGACCAAATACAATGTACAACCCTGGTTATGTGTGTTGAAGGTGGTGATCATCAATGCTAGGAATGCGTCACTTTGTATTGGCGTGCGTGCATGCCAAGCAGAGAGCTGGTACGGAAAGTACAGTACAATAGGTTCGCATTTTCAGTGCAATATGACAAATGAGGGAAATGGGTACACACTTGTATTGGCCTAGCTCTCTCAGAGTCTCTCTGGTACCATCCCACATGTGACGAAAGGCAGTGGGTGTCCTGTCTGTAGATATGACTTGTAGTGTCGCTGTGTGGGTTGCGAGGTGACATGAGCGTGAGCGGCGACTGCAGTATACTGTGGGTCTTCATGTGTCATGTAGATCTACCATTGCTGCAATCACGCTTTGTCTGTAGTGTTGGGTATATCACCTAAGTATTATAATAAAGATTTCGCAAGTGATATCAAGAGTACATAGACGGTCCTAAATGTATGACTGACAGTCTGTATTCTTAGTTGTACAGTATCAAAATACGGTTGCATATTATGCGATGGTAGATGTTGTTAGTGAGCCGGTTGAGCATATTGGCATTATTGCTTCATCACCACCATGATACTTGATAGTGTGTGACCTCCTTGTCTGCTACATGTACATGTATGTCCAACCGGCCGTCGAATAGCTGCCAGCACTTCCCTACCTAACCAGACGCGTCAGGCCTAAGGCTTTCTCGACCTGAGCCTGAGGTCAGAGCACCACTCATCTTATTGATCAGTTTGTTGACCATATTCAGAATGCGAGTGGTAAGCATTATGATGGTGTTGGTAGAGTGTTGGCTGTTACTTGCAGCTTGTTGGTGAATACAATCTTGTAGTAAGCCGTACACCCCCGTCACGGCGTGGTCACAGAGTACTTGTAGTACCATTGTGGCTGTGTGGGCTAAGAAGGATACGCAGCTCATCGGGGAGGGATATGCAAGTCTAGTTTGCAACTTTTTGAGAGCATTCCATCCTTCGTAGGAGCTTCCTCCACAACTATTACTTCGGTCCTGGGGACCTGTAGACTATAAAAGGACAATTGCGCAGTGGGGATTACCATTGTACACAATCATGTACACTCATGGAGACTGTGCTGGCAGCTCGAGAGACTGCTCGATGTACATGTAATGTAGGTGCAGAGCTTCATACACATAAAAAGAAGGAAACCAAGACTTAGTGTTTCTGCTGCACCTCTGGGTTTCACGGGTTATTAGAGGTCATCAGGCAGCACATTGCGATTGCATGTATACAATCGTACATGTCACACCATGTGCACGAGTGTACATTCAGGGTTGTGTTGAGTTGGCTAAATGCTACACCATCATCATCATCATCAACATCATCATCATCATGTACATACTTGTACAGTCTAGTCCATCAGATATTGCGTTTTGGCGAGTCGAAGTGCCTTGACGTTTATCGTCTCAGTTGTGCCTTTCAGCATTCAATATGTGTGAGAATTGTGGTGGGAGTGACTGCCGCACCGATAGGTTGACCTCTATACACCGAATACCGTCTATCTTGTGATCATCACCAGTGCACTGATATCGACACAGAATCATGATCAGTAGGACCATGTTTAGAAGAACCAGGGTCGGCAAGCATGTGTATATCTAAATGTACATCGTATAGTCACCCATGGACAGCTGCATAATTTACTTCGCATCCCGCTCCTACCCAATCCCGCTGGGAGATGTTCTATCCAATTTCTGGGCAGCACAACATGGAACTCTCTACCCGATCAGTAACAAACCATGATCATTTCAAAAAATCTCTTTCAGCCCATGATCTCACTTCGCTCCATTAGTTATTTTTCTCCATTTAGGTACAGGCACACTATCACCTTCTCTCCCCCATTCCATCATTCACTCCCTCTCTCACATTATCTACAACCCCAGCACACATAACATACACTGCTGCATGGTACTTTTATTGTACCGGTAACCATGGTAACTGAACTTGAATAGGCTAATGATACTTGGGCACATCGCCGGTAATGTTTTCATACCAATGTATTTTTTCATACCAATGTATTTTTTCATACCAATGTATTTTTTCATCATATCCTTAGAGCTGTGGCATAATATTCATGATCGACAGTAAGAAGGCAGCAATGGCTATGGTGAAGTAAATTTGTTTATATCAATAGCATATTGTACTTGTATGCGCATGGGGACGCACATACATGTACAGTCATGTACATGACTGTACATTATAAGAAAAGACATTTAGATCATCGTTTGGCTTAGGCGGATCAGGATCGTGTGTTGGTGATTATTGGCGTCTAGCAACCATTCCTAGGTTAGTTTGATAGGTTTGGGTCCAGAGCCAACAACAGCACCTGGGCTGATGGTGACCGATGGCAGGCAGATAAGAGTTGCATAGCATGAGAACCAGGCAGTCGTAAAAGGCAGAAGCCCTTTCACAACTCCCTGTTGAGAACTAAGTACTTGGCCGATTTCGGCAGTTCACGCATGATACTTGATAGAATGGAACGCAAAGGAGTATTCTTCCCGATTCCTTGGCGTTCGACCTCTGAACCGTTTTCGATTTATCCACTTGCCCCTGGGCATAGCTAATTTTTAACGTTCTTCCATTGTTGTCCTTGCTGACAAAAGAACCGGTGGGAATACCTGAAAACTATAATGTTGCCTGTAGCCGTGGGGTTGACCCGGTTTCACTTCCATCACGCCGCGGGCAGATCGACATTCCTCGAGTAGTTTTCCTTCCCATGTTGCGTGGTCAAGAGACCTGAGGTTTTGAGGCCTGATGAAACTGTTTCAAACATAAAGTCGTGGATTAGTACCTGGATTGCACTGTACTCTCCCCCATCTCCCCCCACCCGCTCCCCCCCCCCCCCCGAGAGAGCGTGAAGAACAGGCTCTTCTTCACATGACAGCAAGACCATACAAACTAAGACCTCTTTTTACAGGGAACCCCCTTGCCTAGTAGTGCACATGTAGGTGAAGTAGTTTTATCGCGTTGACGAACCGAGGAAGAGACGCGTGAATCCAAACTCATCGACATGCCCAAGACCAATGCATGAACTGTGTTGCAGCAGCACCCCATGTAATGTTGGCTCGGTTTGGCTGCCAATTCCAGCTTCTTCAAAAGGAGAGCAACACTTTCCTTGCAGCAGCAAATGATCATAGGATCTGACTGAGCGAAGGAAAGGAGTGTGACTGTGAGCGAAAGATGCGTAACAAGTCGGTAGGCCCGTGGAACCCGCATCCTCTACTGTATGTCTGATCAAATGGAGGCCTCGAGCCGTAGAGGAGGGCAGAAATCAGCGGTCGTCTCCAGGCTTGCAGCTGCGTTACAACCGAATGGAGTCATGGGCCTATTCAGTCAAGCACACCGTTTCTACTCGAGCTGCTTGAACTCCGCCGAAGCATGAGGATAGGCTGGAACGTCCCAACTTCCTGCCACCGTTCGTCCACAGCAGACTTCCACGGTCGTTGCAAGGCCCCAAAGCGGTGCAGACACGTCGTTTGAATTCTTCACTCTCTCCAAATCTCCTTTTCTCTCGCGTAGTTTTGTTCGGCAGGGGTATCGAAAGGCAGAACACGCTAGCAACACTGGAAAAGGTCTGTTGATGGGACAGGATAGAGACGATTAAGAAGAATGTGGCGAGCCGAAATATTGCTCAGACAGACGAGAGCTGCAAGGGCATCTCTTCCTCGACCTTGCCCTGATTTGCGCGACGTTTGGTACCGTAAACTGCCGTCGTCGTTTCCGCCGGACGATCGTGCATGGTTGGGTTAGGGAAACCCTTGCGGCGGAGGTGATTGCTGGCTAGCAAAAAGCTAAGCTGATGATTTAAAATATAAGATGCAACTCTAAAGCAAGCGGGCATAGTTTCATCTCGGCCAGAAACTTGAGCCGTTACTTCCCTGACTCCAAAGCCATATCCGAGTGACCTCAAAAGATTGACAAGAGAAAAGATACTTGTACAACCTTTTATTATTGTACGTCCATTACACGCTTGGTGTTCGCGAAGAATGCTTCTATATTTTCACGAGGCTTTGATATAAACTACAAGTCCAATGATTGGAAGTACAACTGTCCGTCGCCGTCGGTCTGTTTGATGTACCGTTGGACGTTTACCGATTGCTTCGATGGCGGCTGGTGTTACACCGATACTGAAGAGAGGCAGGTCGAGTCGTGGGAAGCAATTGATCACTTACAGTAATGGGCAATTTGAGCGAAGTGCTGCTGCTGCTGCTGCTCAGACACAAGCACTCGTGGATAGTGACGACATACACGCGTACACACGACAGCTACGAATCGACGGCAGAGGGAATGCCGCTAACGGCGGTTTAGTCTACCTGCTACCAACTCCAAACAAGGGAGCACTGGCATTGCAAGGAAGAAGTCCTCTTTCCTCTGCTATCGTATCGTCAGCAAGTGATGAAACGACCTCGCGACGCTCTACAAGGGGTGACGGGCGGAAAGCGACGAATTCACCCCAGTTCATCCTCAATAGTCGAGAGAGGGTTGATGAGAACTTGGCAAGACTACCACCGAGTGCGGTCTTCTTGCCACCGATAGATCTTGCATCGCAACAACAGTTCCAACGTCAAAATGCTGATGGCCGTCAGCTAACTAATTTTGATGGTCAACAACAGCAACAACAATCCTTCGTGTCGGGTTCACAGCGTTTCGTTCTACAACCGTACAGACCTGCAGACCAAGCCGATGTCACAGCAAACAGAACACCAGTGGTGACGAACCCTATGACGAACCAGGCTGCTGGGGCCCCTCCAAAGAATGGAGTCCACTTCGAGGACGATGTGTGAGTGTTGTACTTTTATGGTTTACACTTCTCTCTGCTTCGCTTCTCCCTTCGTAACGGAAAAATAATAAATTATGAGAGATTTATGACTGTTGATTCTGTATCCTTTTGGTCACTCGTGCTGCGAATGATGTCCAATACGGCAATAGGCTGGGAATGGTGAATATCACTCAAACATGGTAAGTTAGTTGAATCATGTGATTCTACTTTTCTGAAGGCCATGTGGGGGCAAAGCCAAAGGCACGAGCTTGCAAATCTAGTGATGGTTTTGGCTTTGAGCAGCATCAATGATTACATTCTTGACTCTTGAGTCGTGTAGTGTGTGGTAGTCATAGCTTGGTGGCGTAGGTGGTCCATGACTTTTAGAGGGCTGCATGTCACAGTTCGATTATTCTTGAATCAGTTCATACTGAAAATAGAACTGTAGTAGATTAGTAATGGAATTTGAACAGTTCATGGGTTCATGCACATGTATAGCTAGAGCCAGCTGGTGCATTTGGACATTTGGACATTTGGACTTTGCACACAGACACTCCATTCTGGCCTGACTGCAGACACAGAGCAGCACGCCCCACTGCATTTGACGCACACATCCACATGCTGAACGAAGGCCGAGAGACTTTTCCTGTGATGGTGGTGGGGGAGGGGGCCACACACCGTTTGTGCCCCTACGTGCTACGTAGCTGTACCTATTCCTACGTCAAGGGTACCTCAGTAGATTGTGCGTTGGAGCTGTTGTAGCTATGCAAGTACGGACGGTATTCCTAACATGATCACCATGATATTATTTAGATACTGTACTGTGCTGCGCTTTGCCATGCTCTGCAGCCGATTGAAATACGCGGGAGCGTCATCGAATGCACTCTATGATGAAATCAACAGACCGGCAATGAATGCTCCAACATATAATGCGAGCAATAGCTACAAGCGGTACCTGTCGTGGAAAAACTACGCCAACAATAATACAAACACCAGCATGGTGTCGTGTATGAAGATCGTCTTTCACATGATATCCTTGTTACTTTCCATCGTGGCCATTACGCTTGCGGTGATGGTAGCTACTGGCTATATACGTGTTCCACCGGATACCGATACCCAGCTAGCAGGCAACCAAGCTTTGGGTAAGTACAATGCTGCACAATATAGTTCAGGGCAGTGACTTACTTTGCACTGAGTGATGTGATGCCATCAGCACTATGAGCATGGCCTGGCTTTGCACTAGCGCAGCTAACACCGGGCTGGAGGACACTGATTTTTCATTCGGCCGACGTTGTTTTGCATGACAATGCACGCTTCAAGGAATTGCAACATGAGATGATGTCTCACGTTGCTGAAATCAAAAAACTTTATCCCCAGCCTCAGAAAGTGTCATTAAGACATGCCTCGATATTCCTAGAAGTGGCTTACCGAGATTTTACGTGTCACAAGCTGATAATAGTTACTTGATGAATTTGCACGTAGCACAAGATATGTACTGATTTGTACTGATTATTAGGTACTCCGTGGCTGATAATGGGCATACATTAAAACCTGTGAAGGCGACCACTCGGATAAGGCGACCATCTATCCTGGAAGACCACTCCAACCAGGACCAAGGGATGCTATTTCCAGTCAAATGACCCTGGATAAGGAAGACCACCCGGTAGCAGAGACCACGTTTTCAAAGTACCTTGAGTGGTCGTCTTAGACAGGTTTCACTGTATCTTCCGGTATTTAATATACCTGGTAGTTATCACTCCGTACAAGGTATCTTGTTCCATTACGGTTTAGCTATGACAATGCTAGCAAACGATTCTGGATACATGTAGGGTGATGCCCATGTTGGTTGTCATGTGTTCACTATCTATCTGTAGACAACAATCCATGGAGACAACGAGATGCAAATGGTTTTCAATCAGGCAACAATGCTGGAGTGGATCGACGCATACCCTTCGGCCAGGATTCCCAATTTCAGCCCAATCAGCCCAACCAGCTGAACAGGATTGCGCGTATTGGCGTGCTATGGGTAAGAGCAATGTAGGAGCAGCTGTGACTGGAAGTGACCATTGGAAATATGCGGAGTGCCATATGCGGAATGCCATGCACAAGCACATACCGAGTATGTCACCTGCATTGGTGGAGCGACTCAGAGGTATTGTAGAGACCGGCAGCATGACGGGAAAGTGCAATCAAAGGAAGTCATTGTGTACCAGTTATGAAACTGATGCAAGGATAGAGTATAGGAAAAGTGCTTCCCACACCGGGGCTCGAGCTTTTCCGCCGACAGAACTTGACACTTGACTGACTCACGACGCGAGAAGTCCATCGAACCTTCAGAGATTCGGACGGTGCTCACTAAACCTGAACATCTTTCAGGTTATTAACAGTCCTAACTAACGGTGCCTTTGGGAAGCGATTCACAAAATGTGCCCTGAAATTTCATATCAGCCAATCCGCATAGTGATGACCTACAATGATATCGGGTAGGCATGCCTGCATGCAAAGCAATGCACCGTCAAGACACTCAAAAAGGGGCAATGGTCAACACACACAACGCTTCATGTTGGCAAGACAGTATAATGTGCAAAAGGCAGTGCATTGTCACTTTCGGGTGATCGAGGTATTCGGATTTCCGGTGTTTGGATAATGGTGATATGATTGTACTCAGAAAAACACGAAACTATACATGCCTCACAACAATAATATGGTCCTAACAGGGACAATTTGCCATGCTTTGTGTCTATGATTTCTTCTGTGGAAGCTGGGTTTCCTACGTGACAGGGTTCTTGCCAAAGCGACTTAGCGGGGCGCTGCAACCTCTTTCACCTTTTGACCGCCCCTTTCAAAATGAATGCACCACCCTTCAGAGTGTGAGCGCTACCTTTTATATGCATGATAAGTACAAATCATAATTATAGTAGCACAGTATAAAATGGCGGTGAAATCACAAGGTTTTGGGTACGATGATCCCCCCCCCCCCCCCCCTTATCACTTTTGTTCTGGCTATAACCCTGCGCGAGACATCCGCACTGAAGTCATGAAAAATATCTCAGTTTTCTGTATTATACACTGGGAACAGAATGAATCAAGTTCTAGTATTTGTTGGAGCTCAAATTTCCCATGTTGAGGTAACCATCAGTCAAGGATAACAATCCGATTACTCTTCTTTACTGGTAAGTTGATCTGCCTGTCTGAAGATTTCGCGTTCCGTTCCTTCATTTTCTGTCCATACAAAACTGTCTCACCCACATGCGACTATTGGTTCTGGCGTTTCCTTGAATTCATGCAGCAAAGACTCGAAGATATGGACAAAGCTGCCAATGAAAACAGCCAAGTTCTGCATAGCACAGAGTTTGCACAAGCCAAACTCACCGAGCAGGTACTTTCTTGAACTGTTCAGTTCTTATTGTGCAGTACACGTACAGGACAAAGGGGATGGAGTTACTAACATAGTGCAGGCACTGTCTATACACACATCTACATGTACACTGGTTAAAACTACTCAGGCGGATGAACCTTCGCTGTAAAGAAGTACTGCCCGCAAGCCTGGCAAAGGTGAATCCTGCAGCATAAGAGAATCCTGCTGCCTGGTAATGGATACCGTGCTTCTTGGTATTCCATTTTTCAACGTATACTCCCGTGATTTCATCCATTTTCATGTGGGCATGTGTGTGCGTGTGTGTATTTCTGTGTGTGTGTGTGTGTTTGTGTGCGGGAGCTCGTTACATATGTGTGCTTGCATGCACATACTATGTGTGTGCGTGTCTGTGTCTGCGGCTGCGACTTTCGCCGTCCGAATGATTTATCCCGACACAAGAACTACTGCCTCGCCTAATAGCTATCATCGCCTTTGGCGATGGGCTTTCCAAATGTCCAAAGGTGTGTGTGTGTGTGTGTGTGTGTGTGTGTGTGTGTGTGTGTGTGTGTGTGTGTGTGTGTGTGTGTGTGTGTGTGTGTGTGTGTGTGCACTGATTGGTAACTGTGGACTGTGTGACATGTTTAGATTCGAAGACTGGAGAGCATGCTTACAAGCAGTCATGAGGTAGGTGATTACTTACCAGGAGATATGTCCCTACAATCATGCAAAAAGTGCATTTTCATTCACTGTATTTGATGATAGTAGTGTAATTCGCATGAAAGTGGCTGGAAGACTAGAGGATGAACTGCTATTCCAGCAATGCCCAGGATGTGTTTTGTATCCCTTCAGAGTCACATTTCCACATTTCCGTGCTGTAGGGTTGGCAAATGTGTAATCTTTTTTTAAGGCATCAGTAATGTCGCATTTTCTTCTTGAAAGCTAACAGATAAAGGCATGTGCTATTCTGATAAGACAAAGCTAAGTACATGTGTGCTGTTTGAAAATATTTGCCTCTGTCTGCAGGCTATCGACCTTCTCTCAACAACGTATGTTCACTGGGGTCGCCGATCATGTCCGAGCAGTGCAGTGCATAACAGTACTGTACACGTTGTGTACTCTGGTATTGTTGCTGGCTCTGCTGATTCTCAACCGGGCAACGGTGCCAACCCACTGTGCATGCCCATGCAGCCGTCGTGGGGTGCCCATCACGCCGCACCACAGCGCGGAGGCAAGCTGTACGGTGCCACCTACAGGCTGGGCGTGATGTCCGAGGGTGTGTACAACGTCTTCGCTGGCAACGCTCAACCCGGCGGTATGAACAGGAGACCCATACCATGTACGGTGTGCCGAGTGCAGAGAGCTACCACCATACTCCAGCTACCAGCCACTAACCTGTGTCCGGATGGCTACCGACATCTATATGATGGCTATCTACTCAGTGCGGCCGCCACACAGTTCAAGTCACAGTATCTGTGCTTTGATAAGCAATCCGAAAACGCCACAACACAACTGCCGGCAGATATGCAAGTGCCCACGCCACAAATGTCGCTCTTCCCAGTCGAGGCACAGTGCAAAACAAATCTCCCTTGCCAGCAATTTACAAACAACAGGGAAATGACCTGTGTGGTTTGTGTTGCCTAGCTTCATTGGACATAACAATCACTCCATGATGTGCGTAGGACGCTAGCTCTATGTCCGCTCTGCTAGTTAAGATCACGACCAAACTCCATTTTCACAGTAACTACAACCCATCATATGTTATGAATACTATTACAAATCGCTTTGCGGCGACTTGACAATTTTTTTGTGAAAGCCAGGTGCTGCCCACTCTCTCACCCCTCCCTCCCTTTGCCTCGTACATGTGCATTTTTGTACTTGTACTCCCAAATATTCTACATTAACAACTATTCTACATTAACGGGCACTTGAATTAATCTTGATTGATAGTATTAATTCCTACAATGACATTTACAATATTCAAAGGCTTTTCTTTCGCCAGGGCATGCGCATGCCACTCCACACTACACTGGTAACTATCACGGATCACGTGGAACTGTTCAGTTGTTGGCCAGGAGAATGCTGGTAGCGTGCGGTCTGAAGCATGAGTGTAAATAAATATTGCCATCCTTAGTGGCAATTTGCCATACCTTTGTGGAGTATCCATGCATGTACTCGTACATCCTCACCACCCTCCAAGCGGTGTTTATGGTGCATATCCACACTGATCCAGGCAGCGAATCATCATGATCATTGCCTATTTCCTCCCACTGAGAAGCATGCTAAAATTAATGATTGTGTTGACAATGACTATGTCATCACGTGAGGATGTCAAACTCCGAGCTAGCTGTGAGTAAAACAAGGCTGCCAAGCACACAGTAGATCTACGGTGGGAGAAATGTCAAAGACAAAGTGAGGATAATCCAATTTTGTCGATCACGATAATTACTCACCTGAAATGTACTTCGTATAACTTGGAGCGTTACCGCTCTCGAAGCAGAGAGAATGACAAAGTTTGTTTCAAAAGATTTGCTGCAGACGTTCATCGCAGATGTGTTGCGAGCGTTGGGTGTGGACGAATGGCAGGTGGAAACGGTGAGCGATTCACTAGTATCGGCTAGTTTGCGAGGAGTAGATTCTCATGGAATACGCCTGCTCACCCCGTACGTAGCCAGTATCAAAGGTACGTAACCCGCACTTGGAATATAGGGCTTGCTGGCTTGCTGGCCAGAAAGAAGCCTGTCTGATGCAGAGTTTGAGCATACTATAGTACAAATGTGCACAGTTAAAAATGTATTCAATGAGGTAACGATAATCAGTCTTAATGAATCCACTTGGGGCTTTTCTATCCATGTGCCGTGTTCTCGGCAATACTGGCCGGGGCGCTTAGTAGCTTGTGAGCCCTAAATTCCACCCAATAAAAAATCCACGCTTAAGCCCCGAAATGATACTAATCATTTCAGAACGGCGGTAATAAAGACCGGCGCCAATTCCAGAAAGCATGCCGGTATTATGGCCAAATACGATTTCATTTGACACCCGCCGGGCTATGGTGGCCTGAGTAAAGAGATTATATGAGCGATTGTTTCGAGAGGCATATGTTCGAATCCCAACCGGCTATCACCACTGTTGTAACTTGCTGAATTGATTACTCCCAGTCCCAGTGTCATCTCCACATCCAGACGATTGAAGACAGGACTGCATTGGTAAACACTGTCATGATTTACAAAGAGACGACAGGAACACAACTGGACAAGAAAGACTCGAGGCGAATACGCAACAGCCACACAAGCATCCAGTCAAATACCCCTGGATAAGAAGCTCATCTGTACACGGTGACCATATCTATAAGGTCCCTTGAGCGGTCGGCTTGGCAGGGTTTCATTTTACACCCGTACCTCGTGTATCCAGGTGGTCCGGGACTGGGTACTGCCCGTAACTTCGAAATGTCCGCGACTTGGAATCACATCTATTTTGATGGGGAAAGGCCATAAATATGGCACATGGCATCACTATTTCCACAAAAGTGACAAAAGAGTAGTAATATTTCCACTGAAGCTCACCCAAAGGGTGCACTGGTAGACCGAAGTGCAACTCACCCAAAGGGTGCCCAGTAGACCGAAGAGCCGTAACTTTGGTATCCGGATAACCGAGGTATGAGTGCACTAGTACTACTCCAAACATATGCCGGCTGTACAGTAAAATGGAAGCAGTTAGCCTCCAAAGTTGAACTGTGCTACCCAGACACCTGCTCTGTACGTGATTTATCAGACTCTACGTTTCACGTATAGCAAAACCTCACTAATATGTACAATCCTCTACTCTACGTAGCATGGGTGCAACATGATTAGAAGTCCTTGGTACCAACACACTGCCTGTACTAACTGTGCCGTGACTTCTGCTTGCCCTTTCGTCAGGTGGTCGTACAAATGCGCAGGCAACCATCACACATCGCAAGACCTTTCCCAGCATGTGTGTGGTTGATGCTGATCATGCGGTCGGCGCAGCGGCGGGCTACTATGCCATCGACAGGTGCATGGAGATAGCAAAGGAGGTAGGTCAGTCATGGTGACACCAGTAACCCTTAAGAGTTTGTTTTCTGCACTTTCAAAAGTCTTTCTCTTAGGACTGCACTTCGCTGTAACAGGGGGGATTTAATCGATCAAGTTGAAGGTCCTTGGTGAGCTCAGTGAGTGTGCTGCGTGACTGGTCTGCGTTGATTTTTCAAAGTCCCAAGCACATACACGCGAAATTGATTCATTGAACTTGAAGCACAAAGCTTTCCTTCAGAGTTGAAATGTGAACATTTGAAAGTGGTTATGCTCTCCTCTGTGGCCTGCTGAACGGCAAATCTATTTCAGTCCAATGTAATCAGGGAAGACCCTATTTGCAGGTGTAATCATGCAGAAGATCACAACCAGCACGAATCAGTCACAGACTACATGTATTTCAGGTGTAACGTACTTCCTTTTACTGTATAATGGTAGATATCAGTGTACCGTTATTATTGCGATTGACCATGGGTTTGTTTCTTATTGTATCCTTGTGCTTTTGTGTGACTGTGGCGATTTGCCATTGTGTGCATGCATGCTTGTGTGTGTGTATGTGTGTGTATGTGTGTGTGTGTGTGTGTGTGTGTGTGTGTGTGTGTGTGTGTGTGTGTGTGTGTGTGTGTGTGTGTGTGTGTGTATGTGTGTGTATGTGTGTGTGTGTGTGTGTGTGTGTGTGTATGTGTGTGTATGTATGTGTGTGTGTGTGTATGTATGTATGTGTGTATGTGTGTGTATGTATGTATGTATGTTTGTGTGTGTATGTATGTATGTATGTGTGTGTATGTGTGTGTGTATGTATGTATGTATGTATGTATGTATGTGTGTGTGTATGTGTGTGTGTGTGTGTGTATGTGTTACGAATTTGTAGTACGACTATGATTTACGCATGTCGTTGTATTTGGTTCTTGTCTTGTGGAGTCCAGTGTCTGATGTCATATATGGTCTAGGTGTACGCGCGAGTATGGTGTGATGTGTGACGTTTATGGTATGTGGTGCATGCAAGAGTACGCGTTGTCAGAGTGTGAGGATGTGCTTCCGTCTGTGTGAGAGTGACTGTCAAGTGAATGCTGTACATGCGCAGTGCTAGTTTGGTCTGGGAATGAGAGTCGTGTGTGATTCGTCCGTGGTCTGGTTGTCTTGGTCTTGGTCATGTGTTCTGTACGTATTGGTCCCTGATTGGTCGTCTCGATTTGTCGTCGGTTTATTACTGCTTGTTCGTTGTTTTTTTCTTTGAGTCTTTTCCCGGGAGTCTCTCCCGTCGTCGTTTTCTGTCTAGTCTTTTCGTCTTTCTCCTCCTGTGCCCTCGCCGTTTATTATTGAGAAGTGAATACTAGTATGGAAGCTAACTGAATGGTGCGTTGTTGAGTGACCGGGGCCAGGGGGAGAAGCCTACAACTATTTCCTTTACATTGGCGCCCAACGTTCGCTCGACGCAGGGTACTATCTCTGCAGCCCACGACCCTGGGATCGTTTTGTTTTCACGGCCATGGAGATGGAAAGGCGTTCGCCAGCCTGGCCTGCAGGCCCCTTACCCGGTGAGTCGCTCCCAGTAGAGGGTTTGGTTGTTGTCGTATATTCGTTGTGGTCCCGTCGCCTCACTCAATAGTGCTTGAGCATCATGTCGACGTACTCGGGGTGGTGCCTCTTGGCAAGTTGCGCTTTATCTTTTCGCGCTATCGTTCCGATACCATCAGTCTTTGTGACGGCGATCCGGCTCTTGTGTCTTTCTGTTTTCGTTTTTGCAGTCAGTGTGCGTATATTTGCTGGGGTTTGTGCAGTTTTCTTGATTAGCCTTTCAGTGTGGTTGTGTAACTGTTTGGTTTGTAAGCTTGGTTCGGTTTTGAAGTTGCCACACACGTATTCCTGTGATGGTTTGTACCTGCTCGGTTATCATAGTTCATAGCATATTTCATGGCATGGGTTTTGTTTCGGTCGTGAGCGTCTCTATTTTTTGTGTCCACTGGCGGGTCTCTCCAGTTCGCCGTGGTTGGCGTCCGATCATGGTGAGCCACGGCCTACCCGGTGGGCTGGAGGGATCCCTGGATTGTACTGGTTCACCTTGCGGGTGCTGCGGCCGTGGTTCATTTTTTTCTGGTGGGTAACTTGAAGGGTTTTTGGCAGGCGGGGTCCCTGCGTCTTCAAGTCCCGGGTTTTTTCTCTATAATATTATTTGCGTATTGGTGACCAGTTGTTTGTTTTGTTCCTGCTGTCCTCACCTTGTACTGAACTGATGCTGCTTTACCTGTGTTTCTTTTTTGCCCTGCTTGGCGCACCATACTTGGAACAACAACCGACTGGCCAAGCCGTACAAGGTTGCCATACGCGGATTTCTCCAAGATTCTGCACGGCTTCCTATTCCAACTCGGATCACGCATCTCTGGCCACAACATTCCGATGTCTTATCGTTTGGTTGTGTTTCCCCTTGTTTCTTTTCTCTGATCTTTGTCCTTTGTTCTGAGAGTCGAGGTCGACTCTCGCCGGAGGGGAAGGCTATGTTACGAATTTGTAGTACGACTATGATTTACGCATGTCGTTGTATTTGGTTCTTGTCTTGTGGAGTCCAGTGTCTGATGTCATATATGGTCTAGGTGTACGCGCGAGTATGGTGTGATGTGTGACGTTTATGGTATGTGGTGCATGCAAGAGTACGCGTTGTCAGAGTGTGAGGATGTGCTTCCGTCTGTGTGAGAGTGACTGTCAAGTGAATGCTGTACATGCGCAGTGCTAGTTTGGTCTGGGAATGAGAGTCGTGTGTGATTCGTCCGTGGTCTGGTTGTCTTGGTCTTGGTCATGTGTTCTGTACGTATTGGTCCCTGATTGGTCGTCTCGATTTGTCGTCGGTTTATTACTGCTTGTTCGTTGTTTTTTTCTTTGAGTCTTTTCCCGGGAGTCTCTCCCGTCGTCGTTTTCTGTCTAGTCTTTTCGTCTTTCTCCTCCTGTGCCCTCGCCGTTTATTATTGAGAAGTGAATACTAGTATGGAAGCTAACTGAATGGTGCGTTGTTGAGTGACCGGGGCCAGGGGGAGAAGCCTACAACTATTTCCTTTACATATGTATGTATGTATGTATGTATGTATGTGTGTGTGTGTATGTGTGTGTATGTATGTATGTGTGTGTGTGTGTGTGTGTGTGTGTGTGTGTGTGTGTGTGTGTGTGTGTGTGTGTGTGCGCGTGTGCTTGTACCTGTTTTTGGTGTATGTGTACATGTATGTGCATGTGTGTACATGTGTGTACATGTCTGTGTGCATGTGTGATTTAAAGCTTGGAATGGCAATGGCCATGGTTCAGAATAGCACACACCCGGGCTGTATGGCTTGCATGCCTCTGCGTGCTGCGAAGCAAGGATTCATGGCAATGGCGTTCACCAACACTGGCCCAAAGCTACAGGCATTTGGTGGAAAGTAAGCTAAACAAGAGATCATGGTTGGGTACACTACAAAGCTTGCTGCTGTATAATGTTCAGCAATTCTTATACCTTCCATCGTGTAGCAGTGCGTGGCTACATCATAGTCCATATCCTGTATAGACTCAATGGACGTTGGGTTTGTCATTCTACTACTTTGAGGTGTTTTTGGCAGCTGGACATGCAAGGCATCATTACTCGGGTAGAGGTCAGCTACCATTGTGGCTGAGTGTGGACTTTTTTGGTGCATTTTGGCTGACACTCAGCTCCACTGGGACACGCCTGGCTTTGGTTTGGGAAAATCTGCTTTCCTCCACTACGACTGAGTCTGCAGGCATATACAAGATTATTAGATGACTTGGAAGACACCAAGCATAGACTCTCTCTCTCTCTCTGGGTCTGGAAAGCAGTGTGTGCTTGTATCATCATTGCCATATTGTAAACGTGTGCGACAAGGTTCAAAGTCAAGTAAAATGCGTAAAAATCAGCACCCGATCTCTTTCCCTTGTCGATTATCTGAAGGGGTTCATTTTTCGGCACGAATCCGGTGGCGTTTGCCGCTCCTCGTGTTGAGGAAGATCCACTGTGCCTGGACATGGCTACAAGTACCATTCCTTGGAACAAGGTTGAGCAAGCGCGGGCTGGCAGCGGTAGTACACTACCACCAGGTCAGTCATTCAGTCACTACCGGCACTCGCTCAGTCTCACCAATGCACTGTGACTGCTGCTGCTGTGTGTCCCGATAAGAAACCCGTGTATACAGTGTAAGATAAACACGTAGTTGATGCTAGTGGGCCCTGAGAATGCCTCCCCTCCCCACATCATCCATTGAACTAGAATCCTGATTGTGGGGTGTTTGGTATTGGAAACAGCGAAACGGTATCCATGATATGCATCAGTAGAAATAGTAATGGACATAATTATACTACTGAATTGAGAAGCATAGGTTTGGATGGACTGATACTGTACTACAATCTTCGTGTCAACACTGATAGTGGTAACTTGTTTTTCTACTACCACCCCCAGGGACGTGCGCTGATGCCGATGGGCAAGAGACTACCAACCCCGACCTTGTCCGGACCCTTGTACCTGTCGGTGGCTACAAGGGACACGGGCTAGCAGCCATGGTGGAGGTCATGTGTTGTTCTGCGACAGGTAGGACGGTTGATCAAGAACTCGCTAACCCACTGCAAGCAGTGAAAACTTCTGATATATATGAAACACTAGAATTGCAACTCAACAATATGCACTTCAACCACTCCTACAGACTCCTACAGACTATCCTGAAAGTTATGGGCTAGTAACATTTCTGCTGGGATAACAGCTACACCATAACAGTTACACCATAGCTCAGTGGTTAGAGCATTGCTAGCCTCAAGCCAAGGTCCCTGGTTTCAGTCCTGGTGGTGACAGTCAATTTTGTTCTTCAGACTTTACCCGTTTGCATGTTTCCATCAAACAAATGAATATCCAGTAACTTTTGTAGAAACATACGTATCTAAATTGAATACTGTTTGGTAGTACGGTGCTGCTGCTCAATGAAATGTCAATGCCACGTCGGGCGCAGCGACCTGCGAACACTGGGATGTGAACTGGCGTAAGGCGCAAGCTTGACACACTCGATCGGATTTCATTGAGCAGCAGTGCGTGTGCTAATATGACTGTATATGTATGACATAATATGTCATCATGACATCATCATCATCATCATCATTGGAAACGGCCTCTTGTACGGGCTTGAAACGGTGATAACCGAGATTATGTGCAAAAATCGTGATAGATATTCAGGTAAAAATATGACATTTAACAGTTGAATGATTAGTACCAAGTAGATATTCAAATGCTGATTATTTTACCAGATAGATATTGAATGACAGATGATGTTACTTTACCAAATAGTTATTTAAAAAATGTGATGTTATCCATAGTGATATTGTTGAGAGGCATAGCATAAAAATTCACTATGCGGCCAAACGACACTGGGCCACAAAGGAATTCACCCGCCGTCTGTTATAAGACCCTCGGCAACCACGAAAGCACGTAATGGCCCACCTCAAGAGGCAAAACGACAGGCGGGTACGCAACATACCCATGACAACAGGATATTTGAGATCATGGCTTCTCTCTACAAAGAGAGAGGCAAGAGACTTTAGGAATTGAGTTGTCTCAGGCCCGCTGAAACCATAAGTCGAGAACACCAGTGGGGTGAACGATCCTCGCTCGACATTCACAACGCGGCTGGCATATTGATTCTTTTTTGCCCGTTCATGGGACTTCAGCTGACTCAAGGCTTTTTATCGAGACAACGCGGACGCTGCGGCATCATCATCATCATCATCATCATCATGTGACCAAGCCGCTTTTACGGGCAACAATATTATGAATATAAAACGCAAGGTATTGTAAGAGCAATTTTCTGAAAATAATGTTAAAACACGAAATATAAAAATGCATTATCACACCGTAGCCACTTTTATGGGCAAATTCCAATACAAGGCAATAGGAAAACGAGGATGAAGTTAACCTTTTAACCCAAAGAAAAGACAAAAGATGTCAACAATAGAACTATAAATATAAAAAACAAACATCAGGTCATAAAAACTACTTTAAAACATAACCAAATGACAGCAAAGCGTGGAGAATGAGATTGACTTACAAAACAAAAGTAGTCCTACTATGCTTACAAAACAGAATCTACCTACACCACTAAGGAAGAAACATTAAATGATTGCAGTCTCACAAACACCGGCCTCTATCTAACGACCCATCAAACAATAACTCCTGAAATTCTTGACTGACTTTTTCTGGTAGGAGCTACGGCAGCCACGAAAACAGGTCACTGCCCAACGGAGTAAAGTGAAGGAGAGCAGGCACCGCAATCGACCCATAACCAGCGAGTAGGCCAAGTCACTGTGTTTATCGACATACTGGGCTGCAAGACACTTGAGAAAGCGGTCTGCCTCCCGGCCACACATGCCATTCGTGGCGAAAACCAACGGGGTGAACGTGCCTCGGTCTATATTCACAACACGCGCTCCGTATTCCCGCTTTTTCATGCCTTCATGCTTTTGGAGATGGCGCTGGGCTTCTGGACGCGACAGCAGGTTTGGCTTTGGGTGAGTCACCCGAACATCAAAAAAAGCCTCCTGCTGCGTGGACCAGAAACCCCGCGCCCTCACATCGAGGCGAGCTTCGGATTTCCTGTTGGCTGTACGATGGGGAAGATCCTCCCCATCAAATGGCGCTAGCACCGGCTCCACCTCCACGTCAGGCAATACCTCCGACAGTACACCCGCCAGCAAATCGCGAACATCATTATGGCGTGCGATGGTGTAGCCGCCAGTAGGACAAGCCATTGCATGCTCAGTGGTTAGAGTTGCTCCACAAACACAAGTCTCAGGGAGGCCATCCAGCTCCAAACCGTATCGGAAGCAGAGAGCATCCCGGAAATCAGATTTATTGAGTATGGTTACTGGCTGATTGTATGACGGTTGGGCGGTCAGCCAGCTGGAGGTGCCTTTCTCACCCGCTGATCATCATCATCATCATCATGAGAAAAGCCTCTTTTACGGGCAAAGCAAATGTATATCATTACAATATGTAAAGTGAACAGGGGAAATCAACACAAAACCAACCGGAAAATGATGAAACACAAAAGCAGTCAAGGAAGTAAATCAATACAAAAACAAGCAATGAACACAGAGTAATAAAAGGGGAAAAAACCAAATAGCATTATATTAAGTTGAGGCCAAAGGCAGCACCCTACTCCGCCTGGCGGCACTGGGCCAGAAATGAGTTCGGCTGTCGCCTCTTGCCGTACGAACCGCGGCAACCGCGGAAGCAGGTGACTGCCCATCATCATCATCATCATCATCATCATCATCATCATCATCATCATGTGACCAAGCCGCTTTTACGGGCAACAATATTATGAATATAAAACGCAAGGTATTGTAAGAGCAATTTTCTGAAAATAATGTTAAAACACGAAATAATTTATAGAAATGCATTATCACACCGTAGCCACTTTTATGGGCAAATTCCAATACAAGGCAATAGGAAAACGAGGATGAAGTTAACCTTTTAACCCAAAGAAAAGACAAAAGATGTCAACAATAGAACTACAAATATAAAAAACAAACATCAGGTCATAAAAACTACTTTAAAACATAACCAAATGACAGCAAAGCGTGGAGAATGAGATTGACTTACAAAACAAAAGTAGTCCTACTATGCTTACAAAACAGAATCTACCTACACCACTAAGGAAGAAACATTAAATGATTGCAGTCTCACAAACACCGGCCTCTATCTAACGACCCATCAAACAATAACTCCTGAAATTCTTGACTGACTTTTTCTGGTAGGAGCTACGGCAGCCGCGAAAACACGTCACTGCCCAACGGAGTAAAGTGAACGAGAGCAGGCACCGCAATCGACCCATAACCAGCGAGTAGGCCAAGTCACTGTGTTTATCGACATACTGGGCTGCAAGACACTTGAGAAAGCGGTCTGCCTCCCGGCCACACATGCCATTCGTGGCGAAAACCAACGGGGTGAATGTGCCTCGGTCTATATTCACAACACGCGCTCCGTATTCCCGCTTTTTCATGCCTTCATGCTTTTGGAGATGGCGCTGGACTTCTGGACGCGACAGCAGGTTTGGCTTTGGGTGAGTCACCCGAACATCAAAAAAAGCCTCTTGCTGCCTGGACCAGAAACCCCGCGCCCTCACATCGAGGTGAGCTTCGGATTTCCTGTTGGCTGTACGATGGGGAAGATCCTCCCCATCAAATGGCGCTAGCACCGGCTCCACCTCCACGTCAGGCAATACCTCCGACAGTACACCCGCCAGCAAATCGCGAACATCATTATGGCGTGCGATGGTGTAGCCGCCAGTAGGACAAGCCATTGCATGCTCAGTGCTTAGAGTTGCTCCACAAACACAAGTCTCAGGGAGGCCATCCAGCTCCAAACCGTATCGGAAGCAGAGAGCATCCCGGAAATCAGATTTATTGAGTATGGTTACTGGCTGATTGTATGACGGTTGGGCGGTCAGCCAGCTGGAGGTGCCTTTCTCACCCGCTGTTTCTAACAGTAGCCGCTGGCACGGAGACAGTCCAGGGCCAATCTCTGCCTGCACACCACGCGAAATCTGGTCCCGCTGTGCTCTCACCCGGCGCAGCCCAGCACGCACCGCAGCAACAGCCTCAGCGACACCACACGGACCACTAGGATTAGTCTCGCCAGGCTCTTCGACGCCTAATCCCACGGCAACAGGCCCCGCACGCAGCGCAGAGAACGATCCGGCATCAGGTAGTTGGTCAAGATCAGGCGGAGGCGGACCCGCAGGTGGAGGCGACAACGCGCCAGCATAATCAGGCGGAGGCGGTCGCACATGTGGCTGGTCTAGACCAGGCGGAGGCAGCGACGCACGAGCACAGTCAGGCAGAGGCGGTTCCGCAGGCGGAGGCAGTGACACGGCAGCACGGTCAGGCGAAGGCAGTCGCACCGGCGGTTGGTCTAAGCCAGGTAGGGGCCGTCCCACAGGTGGAGGCAGCGACGCACCAGCACAGTCAGGCGGAGGTGGCCGCGGAGGCCGAGGCAGCGACGCATCAGCACAGGCAGGCAAAGGCGACCCAGCAGGCAGAGGCGGTGACATATTAGCACAATGATGCGGGGGTAGTCCCATAGGTGGTTGGTTAATATCACGCAGAGGCGGTCCCGCAGGCGGAGGCAGTGATGCACCAGCACAGTCAGGCGAAGGCGATGATAGCGCAAGCTGAACCAGAGGATCAGTGGCACTGACAGAGGCCTGATGTTCCCCAGCCGCCGTCTTCGACAATATGGGGACGGCGAGGCCCCCATGCCGGACAGGCAAAGCCATTAGCCGACGTTGGTGGCTGGCCTGCGCAATTCCATGACCCAGCAAAGCCGGCAGGAAATGGTCACTGAGGATCTCATCCAAGGCCTCCAAAACACCTGTCGAGAACGGCATTGAGCGCAAGTGGTAAGTCCACCGTGATGACAGGGCCTTGGAGAAGACGGTATACGCCGCGTGAGGTTGAGTCTGGGCGATCTCACACAAGGTGCGCAGGTCACCAGCCCATCTATCCGCCAACTGCCCCATATAAGAGCGGCAGAAATCTTCTGAC